CAATAACAATAATAATAATAATAATAATAATAATAAAAACAATAATAATAATATATAAGAATACGAATTTGTAAATATTATTTGTCTATACAAAACAAGCCGCAGATATGCAGGGCCTAGGCCTAACATGTGTCAAAAAATCTCAATGTTTGAGATATATCCTTTGGAGCATCAGCAAACCATTAAGGCAAATTCTTAAGTTCAATTTCCAATCAACTTGGTATAGTTTACTAGGGTCCCAACCAAGATTATTCATCATCATGTATGTGTCTTATGGCACAGGATGCTGTAGTAAAAGCCTAGATACCGACATATTTTTCCTCGAAATATGACCAAGAATTGCCGGGGTTATCTCTAATTCCATTGGACGACCTGTCCAACAAAGTTTGTGTGGCGAATTTTGGGACTTCAATAATCGACTTAGAGTAACTTAAATCACGTTCAAAAGAACAAGTACTGCAATTATGAAGATCTTTAGAGCAATAACAAGGGACAGCCGCCATAGTAATCTCCATGTAAACACCGCTGTGCCAGTCCATTGTTTATATCTAACCCCCAACTTAGGTCACATGATGCCTATCACCTAATTGGTCTATTAGACATAGCAAAAAGTATTTTAAGTCGAAGTGTGAGCAGCAGTTCAATGTAAACAAGGTAAATTTATCGTTTCTAAAGCGATGGCTCAAAATATTATTGGAAAGCGTAATTTCGAAAGACGCACATTGTGCTTGATGATGATTGGTGTGAGTTAATGCAACAGCTTTATCGTTTTGTAGTTTGCATGCTTACCTGATTGCTTCATTGACTACGTCAGGTTGTTTCTGTTCTTGCAGATTTGAAAGGCCGTACTTGGCATCCACAACCGTAATGATTCCTACAATTGTTAAAAAATAAACACACAAATCACGTAGTTAAGTATTAATATATAAATATGTTATGTTGATACTATTTTCATATTCCATAAGGAAATACACTCGTCATTAAAATATTAGAAAAACTAAAACATTTAATTAAAATACTGAATTTTATTTATAAGTGCCAAATAATTATCAACTCACAATGTAAAACAGGTAAAAACAATTATACTTTTATTAAATAAATTAATCCGGAATCTGTTAAATAATTACTAAAGATATGAGTTCTATTATGACTGATGTACAGTAAATATCATGCAAGTCATTTTATTTTTCATATTTCATATTTATTTTTATGGTATTTTACCTGTTTCCTTCCTTGGTTTTATCAAAGTTTATTGTTATTAAATTGCATTTTTTATGTCCTCAAATATTCAGATGTACTAGATGGGCTACCAATGATTTTAAATAAATAAATAAAATAATATTAATTTCCGAAACTTTTACTCTGATCTGAGGCATGTTGTGGCAAAATGGCTAAGTTGTAGCAAGAATTAAAATTCAAGTTATTGGTATTTTCAAATACCTGAGTATGTGATCTTGAAAGTAAGGGGTCGTTCATTCAAATATTTAAATTCTAAGTTATTGGAAAGTGAAAGTACAGTACTCTTTGAGCCAGGATAAACACGATTTTGAGTAGTTGCCTTTCAAAGTAATTTGTGCATACATTGAACAGAATAAACTATCAAAATAACGATAAATAAACAATTTGTTGACCACTTTCAGAACTAATACTTTGGGACATGATTATTAAGACATTAAACTGTTGACCTACAGTATACTAAAAAAACAAATTTGGATTTTTTGAGCTCCCACATTTTATAGCTCATTTACTCAATACTGGCCTGAGCGACAACTTAACCATTTCGCCACGACATGCCTCACCTATGGGGCTTCATAAGATGTACTGTAGGGTTCAGAAGTTAATTATTATTACTAGCTATAGAAGGGTACCAACTTATTTCTTAGCTTATATATACTGACTAACATGACTCAAAAATGGGTCATTCATAATTTTCAACATTTTCAAGAGAGTACAAAACATACTCTTTTCTGTGACCCAACCCCCATCCCCTGAGAGAGTACACGATAAAATGTTCGATTTGTGTCATTTTGAGATCAGCATTTTATAGTTTTCATAAACGAGTACTTATGCCTACACTTTCAACTCCCTCCCCCCTTAAAGCGTATGTTTTGTACTCTTTTGAAAATGTTGATAATTATGGATGACATAACATTTGATATATAATTGTTTCATTTGGATGATCAAATGCACATTTCAGAAGTGACCAATCAAAACGGGGACAGGAATGCGGAATACCGTCACACAAATGATATCGTTTTGTGGGATCTTAGCAACAACATTTAAAGAATAGAGCTTAGTGAAATGGTCCTTTAGATCATCTAAAAGAAACAAAATATTAAATAATGTTTTGCTGATTTGCATATACTTTTTTAAATTAGAGGTATGAAAATTAAATATGAAAAAAAAAACATCATAAATATACAAAATAAAAGTACTTTTTGTTATCAAAGTGTAGTATCTGATATACAAAAATAAAAATAATAAAACTAGACTCACCATCAAGGTAAAGCTCACTTCCCAAACCATCGTCCAACCAAAAAATTGAAGCAATTGGTCCTCAGATAATTAAAACAAAAATATTAGTGACTACAGTATTGTAATATTCTTTATTTCAGAAACAAAGTCCAAAATGATACAAAACAGAATAACATAATTATCAATAATAATAATAATATATTAATAATGTTGGACTTATATAGTGCAAAATGCAGGAGGCTCAATGCGCTTAACGTTATTATTATATTAAAATAAACAAGAAATTACTCCTCTCTGCAAAAATTAAATTTCATAACTCATATAAATGCATACACTCAAGTTTTTCTTTTTGTATTTAAGATAGGCTAATAAAAAATTAAAATAAATAAATAAATAAAAAATATGGAATGTAGCATTTCTCGCATAACAATTCATGCTATTTATTGCTTATCATCGATCATTTAATAGATGATACAGGGGTGTAGGCTACTTTCATTTTGGGGGGGGGGGGGAGAATGCAAAAATTGAGAATGCAGAATTAAATCCCTATTCCAATGAAAACTTAATGGTCATTTTTAGTCTTTTAACTCACTTTAGCGGGGTGGGGGGGAGGTGTGTGTCCGCACCCCACACCACTATAGCCTACTCCCATGTGTTATACAGTGCATATTTTCAACTGACTAGCAAAACTGATAGGAAATGCAAATAAAAAAATAAACATCCATGTAATGCCCAATCAAATTTAATTAAACACTCCTGATTTTCTTCAAAAGCTTGACCCAGTAGTGTATTCAATTCAATTCAATTCAAATTTATTTGAGCATCTTATCTTTTTGCTCTAATAGAAAATTTACAGTAGGAAGAAGCTGGGAGAGGCAAGCATACACAATGCAACTGGCTCCACCTAGTAACTCAGTACAGCAACCAAAACAGATCCTTACCAGGATCAGCCAAGCCTGTGGTTTCTAGAAGAACGTAGTCAAACTTTCCTTTCTTCTTCATCAAATTCTCTATTGCATTGATGCCAGTATCCCTGTAAAAAGAATGAGAATCTCTACACACAAATGATCACAGAGCAAGGCTGTATCAAGGATTGCCAATGGGGGGGGGGGGGAAGGGGGGGGGGACATGAAAGGTGAGAATGTGAGGATGTGTGAAAATGGGGTTAAGGGGAGCAGAGCTGTTGGGATCGCAGGTTCAGTTTTTCAATATTATGGCAATTGTAATGATAGATTGCTAGTTAAAAAATAAAGATTCCCTTTTAATTTTTATTACAAAATCATAACAAATTCTATATTCAGTATACAAACTTGGCTGTCTTGTGAACCTTTTCCATTCTACAGGCAATCGCCTTTTAAATTTACATTTTAATCCTATAATACAGTTTAAACACATATTTGACAGTCAGAAATGTTTACATGAGAATTAAAGGTGAGCCCATTTTTTTCATGCTTTGCTTGTTGAAAATGTCAGCATACCGAACTTAGATGCACTCACTGTTCAGAATCTGCTGAATCAGGTGACAGTTGTGTGATCATTTGAGATTATTATTATCCTGGTAGACATAAGATCATGTTGGATGATTATGTGGGTCTGTAATGTGATCATTTGGAACTCTCATATGATCATTTGGAGCTGTCATGTGATTATGTTGGTCTGTTATGTGATCACTTGGAACTGTCAAATGGAATTGTCATGATATTTTGAGCTGTTATGTGATGAGGGTCTGTGATGTGATCATTTGGGGCTGCCATGTGATTATGTGGGTCTGTTATGTGATTATTTGGAATTGCCATATGATCATTTGGTGCTGTCATGTGATTATGTTTGTCTGTTATGCTATTTTGGAATTGTCATATGATCATTTGGGGCTGTCATATGATGATGGTCTGTGATATGATCATGTGGAACTGTCATAATCATTTGGGGCTGTCATAAAGTGGGACTTGTGATCATTTGGAACTGTCTTATGATCATTTGGGGCTGTCGTGTGATTATGATGGTCTGTAACACGATCATTTGGAACTGTGATATGATCATTTGGGGATGTCATGTTATTATTTTGGTTTGTAATGTGATAATTTGGAACATCACATGTGGCAAAGACAAGCCAAACCAGTCACTCATCGCAAATCCTATTTCAGAAATAATGGCAAAAACATGCTGGGATGTCCAAATATTTTTCAAATCTATTTTATTACACTAAACTAACCTTTTATTATATCTATATCATGCCATACTGTTATTTTCCTCATTTTCAATGTTAAAACAACAATATTTTAATGATTTGTTGATGCTTTCTGCCTGGGAAATGCCTGCAATCATAAACTTTAAAAGCTGATTTCTCAAATATTGTTCTTTAAACAGCTGTATGTTTAAACTCCTGTAACTTCATAAGAAAATGTTGGATTTAAATGATTCTTTTACCATTTCATAGCTCTCATTTTACAGTTTACCACTTTAACATTTTACTGTATTAATAACTAAAAAATCGATTTTTGTGACAAGTTACTAGTTTGACTTGTCTTTGCCTTGTATAATCAGTTGGGGCTGTCATGTGATCTGTCATGTGACCGTGTAGCAAAGACACACATAAATTTATTTGTTTGAATTTACTTTACAGAACAGCAGAGGCAACCATTACGTAGCTCCAACCACTCCTCAAAGAGCTCTCCTGATTGGCCGACTGACATGGACTTTTCAACGGAACTACCTATAGCAGGCAATAACAAATAAAAAAGTAAAGGGTCAAAAATAAACAGTTAACATAATATATAAGATTATCCTTTATTCTATATTAGTAATTACATACCGGTAATAACTGCATACATATAGCACAATTTTTAACAGGATAATATAAATGTATAAATTTATTTACTACTATCTAATATTTACTTATAGATTTATGTGGGCTGCTGCAACATAATAACTGTGTAATATTATATATAATAGACTCACCTTCTCCAAATTCATTCAGGATTACAGCTATCTTTTTATTATGCTGTTCAGTTAATATGTAATTTAAAAGCGTTGTTTTACCAGCACCTGTAGAATTATATTCAAATAAAAGTATTCAAATACAGTATTCAATAATGATAATGAAAAAGAAGTTACTGTAATTGTATTATACATGGTATTGATATCTGTTTCAAAAATTTAAAAATAACAGATGGATTAATATTGTGCAAATAACCAAAGTCTCTATGCATGGGTGGAGATCATGGGTAAACACATCCCCCACATATTTTTAAAGGGAGGTATGTAGGTCCCCTCACTTTTTAACCACAATGAACTTTCATAAGTCAAGGAGATGCCTGAAAATTGTTGAAATGAGCTGAATAAATGACCCAGATCTTAAGGAAAGAGTGCAGCCAGAGTACATCATATCTTATAGCAAGATGCCGGTATCTCTGCCCACAAACATCTCAATTACCTATAATACATGACCCGAGTGCACATGCCTTTTTTATAATTTGAGAAGTACGAGAAAAAGCGTGTAAATATAAGATTCCTTTTTTCGGTAGGTAAATTAAAAATAAAAATAGTTAAATAAATAAGCAAATGTAAAAAAAAAGACAAATACCACCAAGCAGCACCCAAACTGAAGTAATGGATTATTAATAGTGACCACCAATCATTATTGTCATTACACTTATTTTATTTGTGTTTAAAGTTGTATCATCCGATGTAGTTTACTAGCCATTTTAATGTACACTCTATCTATAATGAACTAATGTTTTTATAAATTGACCAGAAAATATACTCTCTGTCATTCATTTTGGACAAATAAAATTGAGCCTGAATCTGAATGTTTGTTATAGCTTCCAATGGCTAGAAAAATACCGTAATTCCTTGGGTATAAATCAGCCCACCTCGACGATACCCCTCCCCCTCCCCTTTTGATTGGCCAGTCCTGAAATCATTGGACATGCTGTTAATTTTTTTCAAAAACAATGTGGATATTGTTCCAGTGATTTTACACCAATCCAAGTGGATGATTGGTGGGGCTTGCTTGACCCTAAGATTTAACATAAGTCTTCCCATTGTAATGCACTACCGCATGACAAAACAGTATCCACGGTGTTAAAAAAAAGTTGTCATTTTTTTTCCCCAAAAAAGAATGGGCCCAAATACCAGAGGACAGTATAAGTGTAAGCACTATCAGATCGACAGTCTCACATATTCAGGGTGAGACTCGTGCATTGGAGGTCTGTCTCGCAGTCTCACGCACAAACATGTATTGCCTATGTTAAAAAAAATATATGTATACTATTTGTGACTCTCTTTTTCAACAATATTCATCTACTAAACTAGGCACAAACAAACTCAGCCCAAAATCTCTGACAACTCGCCCCCTAGCAGACAATTCAATCCAACTAAAATCTCATACTAAAACCAACTCCGACCAAAATGCAACGTGGCCAAACCCATTTTTATATAGATTCTCATGTAATACCATGGGGTGCAGGAGCGTGGTCTCATGTCTGTAAATTTGTCTAACTTGAAATCTCAGCACTAAACAGATGTTTAAAACATGTCTATCTCTCACCAAGATATCCCGTGATGATGGATACAGGTATCTTGCTCACTGCATCCACTAATTCCGGTATATCATCATCTGAGTCAGACATTCTGATTGTGAAAAATAAACACTTAATATTAATAACATTTAAACTAATTAAATAACATTAAACAATTAAAGACAATGGTAAACTAAAATAATTAGCAGTTAATCATCCAAAACATTAGTAAATATGGGCATGATATTACCATTGATATTATAAGACAGTGGCTATTTTTATACCAATATTAAATGAATTGCTGATTCTGATTGCATGTAATTGTATGTATCGATTGGATAAGGACAATAACATCCAAACAAAATTAGGACTAGTGTAACAACAGCCACTGATTTATAATAAAATATATAAGCTCTGGATATTGTTCCCAAGAAAATCCGAGATGCTGATTGCCATACTGTAAACATGGAGGTATAAATTATACCTCCATGCTGTAAAGTATTATAAATGTGCGTATGATACTTCAAAATTAAGCTCAAATTTGTGCAGAATATCACAAGGAAAAATAGGTGCACAGAATCGGAACTACATCATACATTGGTTATATAATTAGGTCAAATCATAATACATCGTGTAAATATACTACTACTACTGATGCAGTGCTGTGGTCTTAATTTTTGAGTGGATGCACACAAATATCTAAAATAATTCTTGTGTCTAAATATTACTACAAGGCGCTACTTTATTATATCTATATTATTGAATGCGCACGACCAAGAGGCTGAGCAGCCTATAATATAATTATACCCACACGCAATTAGTTGTAACGCATTAAGGATCACTTCCTTCGATATAACTGATAAGGACGGAGCCGTGTTAATGCCCGGCAATGCATCATGTAACAACAGCAAGAGTTTGGCTAGGGTAGGCTACTACTACTACTACTACTACTACTACTACTAAATGCCTACACCTAGGCCTAGGGTTGTTTTACAGGAAATTGTTTATCCATAGACATTAATAAGCTGATGTGTTCTTCATTTTTCAAACATAATACTGTACCTCTTCGCATTCTTTGTCACAATCAACTGTTGATTATGTGACGGAAACCACTACAATACACACACATGGATTTGTTGACATAATAGCACCGCCAATATTTTTTTAAATAGAGGGCGGCAGACTGAAATTTGTCAATATCGCAATAAAAGCTTTATTTACAGCGTTTATGAAGATAGTTCGTTAGTTTCCATGTTAATAATACTGACCAACAGGCAAAAAACACTCTTAAGACAAATAGCAGTAGTGAAGTTAATAAACAAGCAAACACAGGATTAAATTATGCCAAATATAAATGTTTATTTTGTAACAACAATTGTTTTCTGGCTTTATTTGGCCTATTATCATAATTTATTTTGTAACAACAATTGTTTTCTGGCTTTATTTGGCCTATTATCATAATTTAAGGAAGAATCACAAAAAATAAAAGTACAGTAAAAGTAAATGGTTGTTCTGTATTATATAATTATTTTTTCGTGTTCACATGACCTAGAAATGAATCTTATCAACTTAACGGAAAGATAAATATGCATAGTGCTCAAAGCTTAATAGATTTCAACTATAGCCACAACAGATTGCAAATTTCAATCTCACACCAATACACACTTTTTATATATTGAATTACTATTATAAATAAAATAATATCGATTTAAAAACTTTTTTTTTTCAATCAAGGTTACTCGATACTTGACTTTAAAACAGTGTTGAATGTACTACTTAAATGCCATCAGTAATTGTGACCGCGTATTGCACTAAGCTGTGCCCCCTGGACAACCCCCCACACTCCCTGCAATTTATAAATAACATATAATTTAATCAAAAATAATAATTTAAAAATAATATGGTCCAAGCACAAAAAAGGTCCAAAGGAAGAAGATAGAAGAAAATGGGAAAGATGAAGAATAAATCATAAAAACAATTAAAAAACATCAAATAATATGCAAACACCCTAACCACTAAAAAAAAATCAAATATTTATGTAAATTTATCATCCTAGTTAATAAAACAAAAAACATTTTTAATTACGAAAAAAAAAAAAAAAAAATTATGTACCCTCCCATAGTTATTAAGGAAAGGTAAATATTTAAACTTCCTAGTTATTAAAAAAGTTAAATATTTAAACTCCCAAGATATTAAAAATCATTAAATATTTGAACTTCCTAGTTATTCAATAAAGGTTAAACATTTAAACTCCCTAACTGCTCAAAATACAACCAAAAGGTAATTTAATTATTATGTACCCTCCCATAGTTATTAAGAAAAGGTAAATATTTAAACTTCCTAGTTATTAAAAAAGTTAAATATTTAAACTCCCAAGATATTAAAAATCATTAAATATTTGAACTTCCTAGTTATTCAATAAAGGTTAAATATTTGAACTCCCTAACTGTTCAAAATACAACCAAAAGGTAATTTACTATACATATGTAAATAATACATTTTTATACTAGTCAACAAGGAAAAAGGAATGCACACATTTACATAAAATCTTGTTAAAAACAAAGATACTGATCTTTGAATAAATTCATTAGGCTTTTTGGTTGTTAATCATAGATTGTTATGTTCATAGAATAAAATAACATTCTTTCTACATTGCATTTTACTGATACTGGAATCATGCTGGAACAGAACATAAAGTGTGTATACTTGCTGTGTTTAATTCTATGAATAAACAAACCAAAGATATAGATATTTTAAACATTCAATTAAATAATATATATAGCAACTCAAGAACTTTAAAACTGCTTTTGGATTCCCTTATTAATTTTACATAGAAACAATACAAATTGAGTAAAAATCTTTGAATGTCTGTTTTTCCTATATAGTTCTTCAGCACATATCAATCTTATTTGAAATAATTCACAGCAGAAGAGGCAAAAAAAACTCTTATTTGAAGTAATTCACCTCCTACCAGGTACACATTTAAACACCCCCACCCCAAACCTTGGTAAAGCGAGAAAACCAGAATGATCTTAAACTACATTAAATACAAAAAAATTTAAGAGATATATAGTTTGGTAGTTGACAAGGCAGGAAAGACAATTGCACGCGAGGTAATAATTACAAAAAACACGACACTTAAAATACAGCATTGTCCATGAACTGTAGCCAGAGGTAATGATTAGTACTTATGCTAAAATAATTACAGTAAAACAGTTTCATATGATTGTCAGTCAGATATATAGCACATTCTTAATGGTCAACATGCCATTACACAGGTTAACAGTCAATATAGTACATAAGATATACTGACAATTAAAATTATGTGACACAAACCTGTAGGATTACCAAGATAAAACAAAATATTAAATGTGTAAAACTTCCTACCTAAAATATTTACAATATATATAATAT